AGCATACAGACAAGTGAAACTTCACGTAACCTCAGGAAAACTGTCACCGATACATCAGAGTCCAAAAAGCCTGGATACTGACGATTTTGACTGCCTAAATCTCGCAAAATCAAAATGGAAAAACGTCCATAACTTCGTTCAGGGAGTCGCACAGCAGATAATGAACGTAGATTTAGAATCAGCGTTCCAAGAGGCACCTACTAGTATACATCTCATTGCAAAAGGCCACGGTCACCAAGTATCCTTCCCTCGTTAGTCGAATCTAGAAAGCCTCGCCTACTTGCAGGAATCAAAAAAACTGCAGATTTTCTCCATCTCTGAGATTTTTTAGGAGTCAAACTGAGGGACAGTACTTTTTCCGCACCCTATATATATATTATATATATATAACTCAAACTTTGTAAGTGTGTTCGTTTATTTGTTCGTTCGTTATGGAAACGCCAGTCAATGAACCAATTGCGCTGAAACTTTGCACACAAATGTCTTCGATCCCGAAGGTGGTTTAGCGCTACTTTTTGCAGCGATTCGCTGGGAAATTCTACTGATTTATTGATTTGTTTGCTTGCATTTGTGAAAACTCAACATGCTCTAACTAATCATTTTGCAATAAACATGTAAGCAGGGCGGTGAAGCTCATTCTAACCTCAAAATCGGCAGAATGCGGCAGTTGGTCTCAACGCTCTTTTCGCAAGTCTGGATGTGTAAGTAAAACATCTTGGTTAAACTAATTTAGAGTCTCGGGTGAAACCGGAACCACCAGCTAGTATATCTATAAAAGTCAAAGTTTGTGCAACTCTGGACCGTATGTTTTTTATAGACTCTCTTGCACGAGAACCAACTGAGATGAAACTTTGCACATATATGTTTTCGACTTTGTAGATGGTTTTAGGGTATTCTTTGAGGCGATTTGCTGGGTTTTTCTGGCACCTAGCAATGAAAATGAAGCCTTATCAACCGCTATCATACCGCTTGCACATTTTGGTGTAAACAACAGCAGAAAAGCTCATTCTCATTTTGCGCTCAGAAGGACGCGTACTTCCATATGATGCTGCTTTGAGGTAGGCATTTGCATTTACAATCGTCCTGCAAGTGGATATAGGCTGCAAGAGGGAGAGGGGAGGAATGCAGCAGACAGAAGCGGGATGAAAGATGGAAAGACGTAAGTTTTGAAGCAGAAAACATATTTTACGTGCTTCCCTCCTCCCTTTGGCTCCGTGGCTCATGAACCGGGCAAGACCGGGTATGCCAGCTATAGGCTGTAACAACCAGCATCGGTCCCGCGTTGGTGTGCCTTGCGATGACGACGCGCCTTAACGCGTAACAGTGTTCGCACGCGTCGCACCGCACCGTCGCTATTTGCCGCGGGCGCGACGTCACATGGCCGATGCTGATTGGTACGGCCTATAGTCTCTAAATAAATCCCATTGCTTTTGTTTTCCTACCGGACTTAGGATATCATTCGATAGAACGAAGCAAACTCTACAAATGAAAACCAAAGATCCGTCTAAGTCGTGGTCCAGGTAAAATTTGGACGCAAAGATCAAAAATACTCAACTACCTTAAAAAGCGGATCTCCTTCCACAAAATTTCTACGGACCTCTTACTTGGTCGTTATACAGTAGACACATAGCAATACCGAAAAATGTACTTGGTGGGTTTTTTGCGGGGCTCAAAATTGAGAAATTAAAGTGACTCCAAAACGCGAAAACACTTTTTTGAGTTTTTCTTGTTAAACTTGATATTTCTCGATTAGCAGAGGCTCAAAGCACAAGCAGAGGTAGAATTTTTGAGATTTTACTTAATAAGGCTTGTAGTATACAACGCCATATCTGGGAAGACTGGCGTGGAGTTTGCCATTTTTAGACTATCTCTTTTTTCTCGCTTTCTATGTGCGGAAAAAATCCAGTAAAGGCATATTTGACTAAGATTTTGTGTCTGCTGTATAATGACGAAGTTTGAGGTCCGTAGGATTTTTCCTTGCAAAAATCATTTCAGTTGATAATTTTTTTTCGATTTTTGCTCCAAACTTTACCTGGATTATGACTTAGGTGGATCTTTAGAAGTCATTTTGTAGAGCTTGCTTTGCTCTATCGAATGGTACCCTACATTTGCTAAGAAAATAAGAACCGTTGGATTTATTCAGAAATATGTTTACTTTTGGGACAACCTAATAATACTTGTCTCAAATCCCTGTTTTCAAAACTATCCTTTGTCTACAAAGCGATTCTCTTGGAACGTTTTTTGGCGACAAATTGGCTGCCGCAAAGGGTCCAAATGTGCATAGCGACACTTCCTTGCTTTTTTGTCTATAAAATCTGGAAGGTCTGTACATTGAAATGGTGTTTGGTTTCGGAGTTGCGGAAATCAACGTTTCAGGATCAGTAATTTTTATGTACATATCATTTGAAAAGGCTCATAACGTGTGATTCCCTTGTTTTACAGTGATTGTAAGATGAGAGAGAGAGAGAAAGAGAGAGAGGTCGTGGAAAATGTTATATATCAGTGGCGTACCCAGGATTTCGGCTCGGGGGGGGGGCGACAAAAAATTTTTTCCGATGAAGGTGCGTGGTGTCAGCCACGCACTCCGAAAAAATTTTTGGCATGCTCCCTAAAATTTTCGGGGGCTCAGGACCCCGAAAAAAATTTTTTATAAGGCTAAAATGAATTTTTAAAAAATTTTAAAAATTATTTTAATTATTTACAAGTGCAGACAAGTCATTTGCACAATTTTATAACCCATGTAAGTAACTTTCAAAAATTTCGCGACCCGTTCTCGGGGGGGGGGGCGCCCCCCCCCCCGCTTCACCCCTCGGCGCCACTGTTATATATAGACTGCGTCCAAGCCAAGGACGAACATCTCTTGTGTTGTGAACCTAAAGGTTTTCTCTATGCTGCTAAACCAAAGCTGAAATGCGCCATATTTATCTTGTTTTGTTGCCTGCAGTGGGCGGAGGCATAAACAATATAGGCAGAATAGCGTGACGCATTCGCAAACGGAACTGATGCGACGTAACAGGCTGAACTCCGAAAATAATGCACATCACTCCTTTACAGAAAGCATTAAATACAGGGTACCCAAAGAGAATCGGACTATTTTCTTATTAACGTGCTTTTATGGTAAGCTGGTTTTGACTTACAATTTAATTTGCAGAAAGGGGAATCACTGATATCTCTTCATTATTGTTTACGCCAGGAACTTTGGTAGCGGATTCTAAGCAGCGCCCGGCTTAGATCGTCTGGAAGCAGGCTGGACTTTGTTTTTGGAGCAAAAAGCAAAGGAGATATCGTTTTTGACGAGTCGGGACCCAGCACTAAGAATAAGCGTCATTTAGTCGAATACAAGCTTTTCGGACAGGTTACCACACGATTGACATGCTCTATCATGTATGGCGAAAAGTGCGCGCGATTTGAAAGCAAGGCTAGAATAAACAACTTGCTTGTTTACTGCGCACACAAAATCATATGACACCAAAACTGAACTGTATACATAGAAAATTATTTGCAAAAGTTTTATGTAAAAAGGTTTGAAAACTTATGTGAAGTAATACGTTTTCCAAAATTAGATTTCCAAAATTGAATCGTCTCCAGACGGCCATTAGACGATCTGAGATCGTCTGGAGCATATATTTCTGTCAATTCACTTAAGTTTTGGATTTTTCTATCATGGACGTATTTCACGGTCAAAAATCTATACCTGAGCATAAAAACATTTTCATATCATTGCCTTTCCTTTGTTTTTTTTTGCCTTCATTTCTTCATATATCGCTTTGCGAAATATCGCCCAATGCCAAATTCTTGTGCATGCGTACTATTCAGCTCCAATTTGGATTTTCACTCTTATCTTACGTTTTTTTTTCTTTCAGACTAGTAAGTCTTTCGTGTTTCCATCCTCGTCTAAGCAAATCGGTCAAAGGGGACTTCGTAAAACTTCCGAAAGTCAGGGAAACCTCGTTTTCAGAAACCCTAGGAACCGACTCGTGCCGGGCCCTGATTCTAAGCCATAGAAAGCCTATTTCGCCTCCACAATCAAGGGAAACTCTTGCAAAGTTGAAATCACTGACCCTGACCAGAAGTTTGCACTGTTTCATTCATAAGTTAGGCCGAGCAAATTCTTCAGTGTTATCTACGTCTTTCAAAAGCGCGGTTACGCCATTTAAATAACCTTACCTAAATTTGGAAAGTTGTGCACTGAAGTCAGTGTGAGTCAAACGCTAGTACACAACCTTTCAGAGACTCTGAACTTTTTTGGAACGAAGACGCGCATGGTCGTTTTGATATGGGTGCAACACTTTATCATTAAGGCATCTGTGTAATGAAATGTATCGCACTTTGGAGCTTCAAAATGTGTAGTAACTTGCGTTGACGTTGCCTAAAAATTAGCTGATAGATGGTCTGCTGATGTGCACAGTATGCAGTTTGGCAAATTTGTTGGCAAACAGGCGACCTACCAGAAATGCAGCAATGGCAGATTTCGCTACAGGCAGAGCCATGCGACATGTGAGCTATCCGTTGATCCAACGGGATTGGCGGCCGGGAGGCGAGGCTTCGAGGACTAATCAAGGCTAAAGAGTGATCAGAGAGCACGCTCATGAGAGAGACGCAGACTGCGTCGCACGTGCGAGCAGTCGCCTTAGAGCCACCAACCCGGTTAAATCAAGGGTAGCTTGGTTATATGGCAGCTCGTTATCATTACAGATGAGGTAACTACTTAGCTAGAGGCAGTGTTAAAGGTGAATGGAATTGCAATTGATATCATCACATGAAAGAAACATGCATGACCTTGCAGGAGCATCGAGAGCAAACAGAACGCAGCATCCACTAGTAGAGCATCGCTGCTTTTCTATAGCTGCTTTTCTGAAAACTTCAACATACAAGCGAGCATTTCGACTACGAGATATTCCGTGATCGTGTTACACTCATTGAAAAAATTTACACCAATTTGTCTGTGCACTTTGTTAGGAGCAGGAAATTTCCTCGTAACTGAAACCTTTTACTTCCAGATCTTCATGCAAGTATTCCTTATTTGTTTATCCAAAGTAATTGTGGCGATTCTCTACGTAGCGTTGCAATTTTTCTCCGTACCAGGAAGTGTCGTCCTTGCATCATATGTCTTATGGCAGCTAAGTCATGGTAGCTTTACCTAGCTTACATTATACTTCGAAGACTATAGCTCCTTTACAGGCATACATGTTATAATCTTTCTATGTTTCAACAAAAGAATTCGTAATGAAGTTTTTGGTATAATTACCAAATTTCTTCCTATAGATAATACTACAAGAACAGCAGTCTCTGCCAGCTATCCTCCTAGATCTAGGCCAGCAAATTCGAATTATCCATGAGTGATTTGTTCTAAAGAGAGCTGGGATACGTTGCTTACGATCCTAAGCGAGTTGGAGCAAGCCAGAAATAAAATGTGAAGTCTTAGAGTCAGTTCAACATTATACTGAAGTGATTATTGCAAAGTAAATAAAGTTTTTTTTTCTGAATAGAGCGATACTGGAATAGAAAAGGGAAATAGCAAGAACAGAGTACATTTCACAAAAAAGGGTTAACAGAACGCCTTCCCTGTTGTGCTTTAGGCCCGTATGCACGTACATCCCCGCGGGGAAGGGATGTGCGCTTAACCATTGAAATGATCCCCGCTGGGGATCCCCTCCCCTCCCCGCGCGAACCCCCGTATGCACAAAGACAATATCGGACAAGGGATCCCCTGTGGGGAGGGGAAGTGAACCCTCTTATGTACAAGAGGGGATCAAGCGGGGAAATCACCTTGCTTTCAAATTTTCTATGAAAAACTCTTTCTTATTTCATATTTTGACTGCAACTCATCTTCATCTCCTCACTCATTAATTTAGGGTTGCGGAATGCGCGTATGCAGTGACTGCGCTCGGGGCACTAAAAATGATTTTTTCTACTCCCATTATGTTCCTGCTTTCTTGGATGCTGCCCACTTTCGCTCATGCTGTTCCATTTCAACGTAAAAATGTTGAACTATAGAAGTTGATGTGTCTCTGCAAGGGAATGGGTAGAAGACGTTATGCTGCCGAAAAAGGGGGGGGGGTGCCGCGCGGACGCTCAAAGCAGTATTCAACACATAACAGAAGCTGCAAATTGTGCCAGCTCTCCATAAACGCTGTAGCTATCAGCTACATATCGTCCTTTATCTCAGGGTAATGATCCCCAGCAGCCATCCTTGCTATGCACAAGGGGAACGCTGGGGAGGGGATCACTCCCCAGGGGATTTCTACTCAGAAATAGGCAAATATGCTACTTTCTAGTTTTTTTCGAGGCAGCTTATGTTAAAATAATAAGATAATGGCAACATGTCATGAAATATGAAAGTTACAATGTGTTTACTCAGCCTATATAGTTAAAACTATTATGTTATATGAAAAATGCGCAAATTTCCTGAATGATCAAGAACTCCTACAAATAATCGAAATTGGCAGCTATTGTTGCTCGGATTTCTTCTCAAGAGGCGAATATAGAAAAGAAACACAAATTGCAAGCCACAGGTCGCTGAGAGAAGAACCCGGCTTTCAAAGAAAATCCTCCATAACAATGAACGAAATGCTTGGTAATGACTGAGCAGAACCAGAATATCCGCGTCTCTGGTATGATCTACACCATCGAACCCTTACTTCGTTGCAGGGGATGTCGATCCCCTCCCCCGCGTTATTGAGTTGAATTCGCGCATACGGGGTTCGAGTGGGGGAAGGGAAGGGATCCCCTCCCCCATTCGAACCCCGTATGCACTGGGGTTCGCTCGATCAATACCTCTGAAGCCATTCACACCATCCCCGCTTGGGTGCAGGGGAGGGGATCGCTCCCCTCCCCTCTGTCATGGCAGGGTTCGGCGGAGGGGATCGTTCCCCGGGGGTCCAGCTCCCCTCCCCTCCCCAGCGGGGACGTACGTGCATACGGGCCTTAGTGAGACGTTATCATAAGAATAAGAGAACGATGATGCCACAGAATCTCTTAGGCTGCATTCATACTGATTCCCATGTTCTGGAACTGTTCCCGCACAGTTCTCGCACTGTGCTGAAACTGTGCGGGAACTGTGCGGGAACATCCAGAACTGTGCTGCATGCGCTGCAGCCGCCCCGCACCGTTTTGTACGGCGGAAGTTGGAGAATTTTGACCGTTCTCAACGGTTTTTCTTCCAGATTTCGCTCATTTTGGCCTTAATCCTCCACCCCGCTTTCATTTTTGATCAGCAGAACTTCGAACTCGAAACGGGGTTGAAGAATGAGCGCTTTTCTGCGCCGTGTATTCGAAAAGATGGGCTATCGTGCGATTGTTCATTCTGTCTTCGTGTTTTTTGCTCAAAACTACTTCATTTGTTCCAGGAAGCGGCTGCCCAGTTTCCACAGCCATCTGCCACGAATTAGGGAGTAGGAGAAATCCTGAAATTGCATGAGTTGGGACTTGTCTCTTGTTCTTGATGATTTTGGGCGTTTCCAGCCTTTTTCGTTTTTCCATATCGCTGCTTCTCCGTTCTTTCTTCTACCCCGCTTCTCCTAGTGATGAGAAAAGCTGTGGATTTGAAGCGGGGTTGAGGATTGAACGCTGTTCTGCTCCATATATCCGGATAGATGGGCTGTCATGCGCTCGTCCATTCTCTCATCGCTATTTTTCTTCAGACCTACTTTATGTGTTCTAGAGACTTGTCAGTTTCAATTTCAATGCAGACGCGAGACTACGCAGCGACTTGTTAGTACACATGAAGTAGGTCTGAACAAAAATAGCGATGAGAGAATGGACGAGCGCATGACAGCCCATCTATCCGGATATATGGAGCAAAACAACGTTCAATCCTCAACCCCGCTTCAAATTCACAGCTTTTCTCATCACTAGGAGAAGCGGGGTAGAAGAAAGAACGGAGAAGCAGCGATATGGAAAAACGAAAAAGGCTGGGAACGCCCAAAATCATCAAGAACAAGAGACAAGTCCCAACTCATGCAATTTCAGGATTTCTCCTACTCCCTAATTCGTGGTAGATGGCTATGGAAACTGGGCAGCCGCTTCCTGGTACAAATGAAGTAGTTTTGAGCAAAAAACACGAAGACAGAATGAACAATCGCACGATAGCCCATCTTTCCGACACGGCGCAGAAAAGCGCTCATTCTTCAACCCTGTTTCGAGTTGGAAGTTCTGCTGATCAAAAAGGGAAGCGGGGTGGAGGATTAAGGCCAAAATGAGCGAAATCTGGAAGAAAAACCGTTGAGAACGGTCAAAATCCCGCCGTACAAAACGGTGCGGGGCGGCTGCAGCGCATGCAGCACATTTCTGGAACTGTTCCTGCACAGTTCCCGCACAGTTTCAGCACAGTGCGAGAACTGTGCGGGAACTGTGCAAGAACAGTTCCAGAACATGGGAATCAGTATGAACGCAACCTTATCTGATCTAGGTTCGCCAACGGACCTGAGCTAAGGGTACACATTTAGCGCCGCTTTTTTAGCGCTGTTAGTATTGTGGTTATTTTCAAAAGTTCTACCAATTCGAGTTTGAATTCAGTTGACCATAACTCTCTCCAACATTGATTGTTCTGAACGTCACAGACTCTATTGCAATCAGCAAATTCCTGGCAGTGTTATACATATACCAAAGTCATATGAGAAATTAAGAAACTTTTTGTATAGCTCGAGAATCGTTTTGAAACTTCTTCTTTGAGAAACCGTAACTCAGTCTGGAATGTAGTAGTCTAGCATAGATCTGCTCATTGTGTAGCCAGTGATCGGCTGAGCAGTGATAACTTCAAATTTCACGAATTCTCACAAAAAACTTTTGCAAAAAAAACCCACTAATTTAATTTTTTCAAAGAGGCAAGAACGCTTTTCAATTTTTTGCTTACATTTCATAGTCGAAGAAGCTACTGAATGCGGGCGGGCTTGTTACTGACTTGTTACAAAGGCCAATCGATTATCAAGTCAGTGCTCTTAAATGGCTCTGGCACCAATTCCAATTTACCGGCCCCAGAATGTAGAGGGCTTGGTTGGTCCTGGGAGAGGGGGAGGGGGGGGGGGGACTGGGCTCGATCTGGTCATAGCGGCCACTACATCACCCGTTTCCACCTAATTTTTATGCGACCTACAAGGACTACATTGGTGAGGCATGTTTATGCTAAAAATTAGCAAGTTCAATATTTTGGAAATTATCTTGACAAGCAACATTGTAACATTGGTCTCAACAAACAGTGCACATCCAGAAGACTCCGTCTCTTGCCTGGGTATTTCTAGGAGACAGAGCAAATTAAAAAAATTCCACGCTCGCTGTCCTTCAAAAGTATGGAACTACGTAGCGATTCAAGTCATGTGGGAAAGAAAGCATACATATAAAAAAATTCTGTTGGACCAGGGGCCTTCTATAACACTGATGATTGTTGTCGCTTCTAAGAAATCAGCGCTGCAAGATTAACTAGCATTTTGCAGGTTTTGGGTATACCATTTTGTCAAACCAGAAGGTGTATTTAGTAAGTGGGTTTAGGCTACCCTCCAATGAGGAGTTTGCATTATGAATTGTACACTTCTATCAGCTTATCCACAAAAGATCTAGAAAGAGCCTTTGCCTCTTTTACTTATCAAAAAGCGAGGTACGCGTCAAAATCCCTATCCGTAGCTGTCGATTCTACAAACTATTCTGAAAATGACCGAAGCTGAAAAATAAGCAAAATGCTTTTCTGCCATCTTGGTTAACTGCTTATCACATCGAAATGAAAATTGCCAATTTTTGCAAAATGGTTCACTTGATTATGAAGCTATCGCTACTGGTTGTATGTCGTACACTCGCTACTGTCTGTGCGTTGTTCTACTATGGATAAGTTCAGACGCTTTTGTGCTATGCTTATCCTTTGCTTTATAGTTTGTGCTTATGGAGCCTATGCATACTATCAGCGGAAAACGGAGAAAAACGATCGCAAACACTTGGCACTGATCGCACAAGGCGATGGAGATGCTATTGCTGTTGATGATGAAGAGTAGATTGTATTAATATTAATATAATATAATATTAATACATAAACGGGGAACTAATAGTTATAAATGAGGCACATTTTTCAAGGTACTTCTGTGATCTCTTCCAGAGAAATTTCTCAGTTTCAATCCCTTTATCATAATACGTCTTCCTAATTTACAAGGCCTAATTCTCGCTGTAATGACTGTTTCTGCGGTCTGCTGTCTTGTTCATTATGATGATGCTCTCTTGCTGATAGAAATCTATCCTTCACCAAGTCTGTTTATGAATAGTTTGAACATTTAATTCGCATATTAACATTCATCAGCTCGGATATAACACCTGGTAAATAATGTAAATTATTTGCTTGACGATACCGCTGCATTTTCCTTTTTCCATATAGATATAAACGTTGAGCGGATTAATCAAATCAGATAATCAGATTAGCAGGGAGAAACAGCAATTTCTCACAGTAATACGAAGAGAGAGTAGAAATAGTTATCTATTTCTCCTGCACATCTATCCTCAAATGCTAGAGGAACGTTGTAAGAATTTGAATGCTGTTTTAACCGGAACGGTAGCAGCTGTTTCGTGAACAGCGGTGAGCGTAGTCATGTAATCGGAGCGGTGAAGCTCATCTACATTTTGCGTTGGGAGGATCCGGTACTTTGCAGGGAAGAGTTGACAAAATGGTATCCAACAAGCAACTTCGCACCAAATTTATAGCATTATTTGAGCCCACTCAGAGGAGAGATGGGGACGGAGAGTCACTCAAGAACATCCCTGTGGCAAGGGGAGTGGCTCGCCCACTGATAATCCGCATCGGCGTCCTCCCGCGGTCTCGTAACCTGGGATGCCGCACCCCTCGCCTCGACTTTCATGTATGTGATCTAAAAGCTTCTAACGACAAGGTAGTAGAGAGTTCAACCTGCTAGAAGATGTTAGATGTTGGACATCATCTCATGAGCTAGCCTTCACAAAAGATTGCGGAGATCATTGAGGATGACGGATAGGATCTGTACTGTGCTAGTTTTACTGTGCTATGAGCAAGGCTTCATTTTTTGATTTCACATGCCTTTTTTGTATCATGTTTATATCCTGTAGTCCCTCCGTCAGATCAGGTGAACTGAACTGAATCCCTAATTTCCGTCAGTCGTATTTACGACCCGCCCATCCTCCTGTGCTTATGAAAGGCCACGTGAACTGGCAAGTTCACTTCCGGTAAATTGCCTTGGCAGCTTTGCTGCGCTGCTGTAATATAAGGATGGGTCGGGAGGGTCAACTACCGCAGTCAGTGTGTAGAAATGGTGAATCAGAGAGGAACCCCTGTTGCTTGTGAGTATCTTGGGGAATACGTAAGGTGATATGATCCACGGACGATAGTGCTCGAAAGTACACGCTTTCGGTTGCCTGCATATGAAAGAAACGATGAACAGCTGACTTCATTTATGAAAATAATTTTTTATCCACTTTTTCTTGCAAATGATACCTCAGTTTCAGCGAAATTGCACTTAATGTTGTCTTTTCCGTATATTGTCCAACATCTGCAGTTTTCATTGCAACTATGGCAACTTCAATTCTCTTGTTTTTCCTCCCCGTTTGCTCAGCATTATCTTAGGCGGTCACATTTTTTCTTATGTGGTCCATAAGATGGCCTGGCATATGCTCAGATAGTCGTGGGGGCGGGCGGCCATGCGAATTTTGAGCAAGCAAGCACCGGAGAAATAGTTCGCTGATTTCTTGCGGCCCGCTTGCAGAAATTTGGAGGAATGTTGAACAATTTTCAGACGAATGCTCGGAGAACTATCGCGGTTTTTCCATAGATTAGTTGCGGCGCATTGGCCGCAATTCGCGGATTTTCCGCGAGAATATGCAAAACTATTGAGGGCCGCCCGGTCCTTTGTGGAGGACCGCACAGCCCTCAGGTATTTTCCGCTGATAGAAAGTACACATCAAACTTGAGTAATTAAACCATCGATGACACCTCTGCAGCATAGAGTCTCACATTTGCTCGACGTACGCCCGAAACTGCTTAAAAAGAGTCCGAGCGCCTGCTGAAAGTTTGGCCAGCGCTCGCTGAAAGTGGTTATTTCGAGCGCCCGCAGAACTCTGTATTCTATCCCGCTAGCAGGATTCGACAGTAAAGGAGATACCGCCCGCTAAAGGTCTGGCCGCGCCCTAAAATTCTGCTGACCGCCCGCAAGAAAACGCGAGTTTGCGGTCCGCCTGCCCCCGCGATAATCTGAGTGGGTGCATACCGTACATATGAGTGGCGATTGAATATCGTTGCGCGCGACAAGCTGACAGTAGCCGCGCACAAAGATGGCCAGCATAACCCGTAATATATTTCATCTTCAAGTCATTTGCAACTGAATATGCGTACTGCACCCTATGCACGATATTGACAAGCTTGTAAGATGAGAACTGCCCATTCTCAGTAATTTCTGCTTGCTTCCCTGCCTTTAATTGATAGGATATGTAATCAACAGTATTCACTCTAACAGTTTGTTGCGCTACGAAAGGCTCTACTGAGAAGTTAATGTAGGCGCCATCATCGCAACGCGTTATATGCATGCTTGCATACTAAATTACGTTGACATGATGTTTTCCATTACTTATTCCAAATTCTACCACAAAACTTGTAAAGTGATCCTTCAGACGACAGACACATTACCAAGTATCTTTGTACAGGTATTATTCGGACTATGTTTGATTGCAATGTAATCGAAAAATCAAACAAGGATATTGAAGACTTCCACTTCAATAAAGTGGTCCCTAAGCAGTTCCTCGAGGATTCTGCGTTTGCAACGTAGGAAGAAAGTTTACAACACTGGCACCACTAGAGCATTAATAAGCACCCGGAGCATTAATAAGCTGGGATGTATAGGCTGCTGCATGACAAAGGCGCAATGTTTTTGGGCACGAACGCGGCTTTATTAGCCGCAGAGCGCATCAGGCGCGGGATTTACAACGGTGAGGGTACGCGCGCGCCGCGTTCGCGCCCGCTCAACTAATACTGCTATTGCGCCTTCGTCATGCAGCAGCCTCTTAAATATGGGCAAATGTCCTGCACTACTGTTTCTTGTGTGTAACGCCGCGTCGCGGGGAGTCCTACTCAGACAGTCGATGGGATGCCTCCGGAGCAGAAGTGAGAGGGTCGCGGGCTTTCCCCAGCGGAGGATTGCCACTTCGCGCTCCGGAGCCCTGCCATTTCACGTTTTTGTGCTCCGGGGCTCTCCCAAAAGTGGCGCATCTCCGGAGCAGAGATTTGCGCGTAGCGGAGAGGGGTCCCATTCGTCCTGGTTGGGACGTCATCGTGACGTCACGGTGAATAAATGGGACCCCTCTCCGCGACGCGCAAATCTCTGCTCCGGAGGTGCGCCACCTTTGGGAGAGCCCCGGAGCACAAAAATGCGTGAAATGGCAGGGCTCCGGAGCGCGAAATGGCAGACTCGCGCCTATGCCCGCCGGAGGTATCCCTTCGACTGTCTGAGTAATTGCCACCCATATGCAGCGAGCACCCCGGGCCATTTAGGATAAGTGTTGCCGCTAACCGGTTTTCAGCCACGGCCGTGCCAGGCTTGGTCAGGAGGTGATGATGTCGCCAACTGACTAGCGACACCATCCACCTGCCTAACCAAGCGTGCACGGGTACTAGAACTAGGTATGATTTTCTGTTAACTCCGGACTGAGTTATAATTATTTTTATTTAATAATTTTGTTATTTTCTATAAAATTCACCAGGTATTTTTTAGCCTTCTCAGGTGCTTTGGGGCAAAAAAATGAATTCCAAAAGAATTTGCGTCAGCGGACTACTGTCCTCGAACGACATGCAACAGAGTCGCAAAAGAACCACTTGTCCAGCGGCCCAGGATGGAGGAATTCGTTTCCCCGCCCAGCGTGTACAAATGGCGGAGCTCTTCCTCCGTTGAAAGACGTGCATGTATGCAAAGCGATCCGCATCTAGACAGAGACACGACTGATGCTGATCCGTGGCGCCGTAAGGTTACCTTAGGCTTACCACAGGTGATTAGAATGACGGAGCATTACTACGGGCCTATGTGTTTACTGCATTAGTTTGTTTCAAAAGTTCCGTCCGATCTTCGGTTTTGTTTTAACAGATTTTTTTCTCCGCCCGATTCAATGCACGATAGGTTTCCTGCACGACATGATCATACTTGCTTCTTCATGTACTCTTTTATTCATACTTTATGTGGTTTAGATTTAATTATTCCACTGGGGCGCCTTAATGTTGTTTTTAATTGGATAAACATTCGATTACCCAAGTTAGAGGACGCACTCTATGCGCACGTTCCCAAAGTTCCACGTGGCAAGCAGACTGACACAAGTGTTCATCTAATCGTATATATTTTTGCCTTGTTTTTACGCCGAATAGTGGGTAGGGAACTGTATATCGCCGATAGGCTTCACCCCGCCCAAATTCGTATATCTCTAATGCATGGCTGCGTTGTCCGTTGCAGATAACGCATGGGACCACCTTCTTGCGGCGATATGATCCCCCACCCCCGAAAAGTTGTAGGAATGCAGAGAGGAGGGCTTTTTTGTAGATAACACAACACATAGATGTCCCTTCGTATTCACGCGCAATCGAGTGGAAAAACTAACACGCTTTTTGAAAAAAAAAACCTACCACATAACTGCATCAACCCAGTTCAGTGCAGTAACGATATGCTCTTACGAATGTTACAAGACATTCTCTGATCGACTAGCTCTTCGAAGCAAATTACACTTTGTCCCAAAATTTTATTAGCACATATTTTCGGTATTTACATGCATGTCAATTTGTACAAATGAAAGAAATATAAAATGAACTGAGAAGTGAAGGAAATGACATTAAACTGAACAAAAAAGGAATGTACAATATGGAATACACATATGTTACAATCAAGACAACGTTCTTTTCACATTCAAAAGATATGTTGAAGTGCAAAGTTGTGCGATCACAAAAGCTCTGTGATTATTCTTCGATTGTTTCCGCTCCGATATCTTCTATCTTTCCCTCTACAAGCTCATTCAGTAATTCATCGCCTTGAATGCTGTCAGTACTCGGCAAGCGGCCTTGGTTTAACTTCTGGAAAATGTAAACATTATAATTTTTGTAAATATACGCCAATTTTTGCAGATTTAAACAGCATTTGGAAGCATTTAAGGTACTACTGAGTACGAAAAAAAGCAGAGAGCTTTTCTTTTCTGAAATCGAACTCTAGTTCCTCACAATCCTACAGCTAACAAGATTTTATTTTATCTCTAATCGCTGAAGGCAAGGGAGCGGGGTTGGAGAGAGATATGAAAACCCCTAAATTTGTAACTTGACTAAAGGCAGAACAGAAGTGTATTGACAAAGAAGGTTAAGTGCATTGCACGAGATTTGCGCATTAAAGACTTTGCCTAAGCACTGGATCGTAAACAATTTTTTCACCAAATTCCATACACTCTTTGGCTTAATTTTGCTCAATTCATCTGCGAATGATGCTACTGATAACTATGGCAATGAAAGCGCAAATATCTGATCCATATAAAGCGCTTTTATTTGACAGCAAAGATAAGAATTTCGTCGCTGTCATTTGTTCGCCATTCGCCTTATGCACTAATAAGATGTCAAAAAGAAGCAACTAAGAAAGCGAAAGCTAAAAATGGAAAATTTGCACTTCCTCGTTTGCAGATGATTAGGGAAAAGATTTAGTACCCATAGAAGCTTTCAGTTAAATGTGTTTTTTTTACATTTTGATGACACAATTCGAAACTAACGCACTAGGATTGATCCGGTAAAATCGAAATATACAAATTACTCAATTTCGGTATCATATATAGGGGCTTCCCTATGCTGCGCAATATCGAAAAAGGAATCTGAGCACTCTAAATCTATTTTTCAGGAAGGGTTATCCTCAAACCTTCACAAAAGCACGCTGGCAATCTGCCAAGAAATTCCCATATGGAACATTGCCGAAAGATTCATTACCCCTGTCTTTGAAAAATGAAGTTTTGAACAATCAGTCATTAGTTTTCCGATAAAAAAAGGTTAGTAACCAGTTTCCCATACTTGAACTATGAAATGATTTCTCGTCATGCAAAAATGTGACCTTAGCGCAAAATTCGCGCATAAAGTGTCAACAATGAAATGAAGATGGATCTCTATTTGTTCAATTTTTTCGGTCAACAATAAGTGGGGGAGCCGGTTTGCGATAAATTAAAAAAATGTACTTAAATAGCTTTGAAGCGCTCTGAACACATCAAAGGATTGCCTCATCGTTTTGTTTTTTCTTTAGAAAGAATCAGAATGCCATGGATCCTGTGCATTCCCCTCTCGTACCTGTATTGTCTTCCCGCAGCCCAAATGAGCATGTATGAACACAAAAGATATTTGTTCAAGCTTTTCTAGCGAAAGTTTCTCATAAATACTATTTTGACGCCCAAAAAATCTATCCTAAAAGCTACATAGAGCACTTTTAATGCGCTTGAAAAATTCAATTTATGAGTCAAACTGCATTGGTGACAAACTTTTTTGAGCGCAGGTGATAAAACTTGCTATTTGTTTGATTTCGGATTGCCCACATGGGCCATAACGTTTACTCAACTTGCACGTCGGTCAGGACACTTACACTGAAAAATATTGCCCTGTTATTCACCAAACGCACTTTTCTCTTTCGTTGCAGTATAAACAAGTGGAAGCAGATAAGAAAATTTTGCAAATTATATCATTCAGAAAAGTTTGAGAGGTCAAAGCTTCAGGCCTAAATTGTATTGTTAACGAGGCTGTAAAATAGTTTAATGGAATTGAATAAACAAAACTGAAGTTACCCCCCCCCCGATGGATTAAAGTTACACGTTTTCAACATCAAAAATATTCAGAATAATTATCGTAAAAGTCTGGTAGAATGAGAGCTGATAGAATTAGGGAATAGAACTCAAATTAAAGGTACAATTAAAACTCAAATTTTCCAAAAACTCATCCATTTTGAGAATTTTTGAACAAGTATGCTCAGTTTGCGGCTTCTCTCCAAATTTGAATTTGTAACAGTTTTACTATCAATAAAGCTGTGTGTTTACAAAAACAACTAGTGAGAGTTTGAGCCCTTAGAATATTCCTTGTTAAGAATTATACAGTTACCAGTCCAAAGCGCCGCTTCGCGGCGCTTTGGACTGGCTGTGCGTGTGAAGCGGGAATGTGACTGAAAGTCAAAACTTTTGAAGATTCGTAGCCTGCGAAGACTTTTGTATGCTCCCAAACTTTCACACGTAAAGAAAACGTAACGTAAAAAAATTTTTGTGATTGGGCCCATCCCAAACCCGACAAAGTAATCCCAACCACGTGCTCTTCCCACCCGAGGCCCTGTTTCCCACATTAAGCGGCGACCCTCCAAACTGCTTTAGAATCTCCACCGCTCTAATCAGACTATTTTTATCGCTTCCCGAAACTATTACCAAGAAAATTCGTGATATTCTTGTAAATATGTAGCCGATATTAAAACTACCAAATCTAGAGTTTTCCAAATTCGAACACTCCCTCTTTCTTTTCACAAAGTATCCTTTCTTGAAAGCGTCATACTTCCTCTTCCACTTCAAAAAATTGCACTATCAAAACTCTCGTTCACGTTTTATGAAGTTCCCAAACTGTCCAGCATTCTTGCAATTCATCCGTAGGCTCCAAAATCCACTCAATTTTCAGGTTATCTTGTTGAGCAAACTCACTCAGCAAATTATACAGTTATTGCCTTTTCCTTTTGCTTTGTCCCCTTTTATCTCACCCATCTACCAACCCTACGTCAATTTTTCAAAGTTATTAATCCTCACCATTAATCGCACAGTGTCATGATCCACAATTCCCATTTCGCCAATGATATCAGTGGCCTTCAATCGTCGTCCTGAACAACACTGTGATAAATATGTGAGTGGAATAAAATTTTCACAAGCTTACCGTTATGGAAGAAAGCTTTGCCCTTCAGCGTTCCCCGATGGATTGCTCGGGTAGTGGCAGCTTCCATCCAGATGGACCTTACAGGATCGTTGACTTTCACAAAGATAGGCACAGCAACGCCTTGTTCGTTCTGAAAAGTTTTATAAAAAAAAATGGTAGTCAAGTAGTTTTTTATTTACAAAAAGATTGTTTTCCTATAAAAATATTATTCCGCGAATCCCCAAAAGCAGTCAGTTCCTAAGTTACTGTAGCTGCAAAGTAGGCGAAGAGAGGTAAATCGGAAATAATTTCTTTCTTCACTTTTTTAAAATCAAACCTCTTGCTTCTGGATTTTCAGAAGGGGTTACTAATACTATGTCTTCGTCTGTTTGGAAATTGGTTTTTCTTTTTCTTTTATTTTTTGATGCTTAACATTTTTCGACAGGGTGTTCTCAAGTCTTTTTCCCCTGATCTCTTTCTCCCCTAACTCTTTGCAAATTTCTTCCTTTTCCTTTTTTTTGCATCTAAAAGTACCGTAACCCTTGTTGATGGATTGCCCGTCCCTATTACGATTCTCTTTTTTTTTTGCCAAACACGCATACAAATGCCCGCTCCACGTGTTGATTAGCAAAAATTTTCATTCCAAAAAGTGACCAAACAAGTGCCAGATTATCGCACGTCTCAAACTAACGCTCATTAAAAATCAGCAAAAAAAAAAACAAACGGCCACACTGTCACAGATTCACATCGCATTGTAATTCATCATCGCAAAGTTTGATGGAATCTTTCACACCTATTTACCCCAGCATGATGTAAATTCTAATGAAAGATGACAGTATGAAATTTACTTAAAGTACTGTAGATTAAGCAAATAGTTAACTCCAGCATTGATTTTTAAATAGAGACATCGTAACCTAAACGACAATATAAAAGAGTACATTCTGAAAGGTTTCTACTTGGCTTATGCAAATGAAGAATTAATTCGAAGTGGTGCTTAATTTCACACCAGCATATAAAAATTATTTGTCAATCTCAAACTCCAAAGTGGAAATTTTCTGCAGTTTTAACAATCTGAGAACCGGACTTATGTGATGGTCAAAAGCAGCTGTAAAATAAGCTACTTTGAGAGAAACAGCAAAGAACCGCTGTTTTTGTCAAAGTTTTCATAAAGATTTGTTATGACAGGTGGGATAATGATCGCAAAGAAAAAAGTCAATACAAAGCTTCTTTCCTTATCAAGACTATAAAGAGGTGCTGTTATGTACATGCCAATCTTCTAAGGAAAAAAGGCTATTCTGATAAGCACACTTTTCACTAGAAAAAATTAGTTGGTTTGATACCGACCACGAAAAACTTTGAGATGTTTGAGCTTTCTTACGCGAATCCAGAATTCGGAAGATTGATAGATTTGGAAGAAGAGAAGCTTAACCTCGATCCCTGACCGTACTATGGCGAATGTTTTGCATTCTGATAACGATGCTTGTATAAACAATAACCTCGCCGCATTACAGCCGTGTTTTTCATTGAAAAGGCAAACTGAGATTTGCGAGAATTTTTGATTCAAAATTTCTGTTCTTAAACCCCAAAACGGGTACCATATCTACATATCAAAAGCAATGTAATGAGAAAACATTATATACTCACCTTCATGTAAATCATGATAGATTTTCCAATGTCCTCCATAGCTGTTTTAGGCTAGGGTAACGTCGCAATCACAAAGATTATTGAAACTGGCTGGAACCACACTCGTCAGAAGGTCGTCGAATGTTGGAGGCAGTGAAACGCCCAGCTCTCCTCGGGGTGGGCCATCACTGTCAGAAACATTTGGCTTCCACGATTAAAGACACGAAGCGAGAAAATCCACAATACGAAGAAAAAGTGAACTTTTCAGAAATGTGAAAATATTATTCGCGGACGCAGCTGACTGAGATAACATTTTGACCTCGCGCAATGACCATTGTATTGTTCAATAGTCTTAGAAAAGCGCATTAGATGAAATGTGACAGGAGCTAATTCGATACGATTAGTGGAAAAGCGTGCAGCGAAATTCTCTCTCTCGCAAACGGGTGGTCTATCGGTGATAAGAAACTATCAATGCTGCCTATTCGAATTCGTTGAAAATTATGATAGGTTGGTCTGCTTCGATCAAGATTTTGATTCCTTATATGATAGTGAAAGGGTGATGGGTAAGGGCTTTCCCAAAGCGCCATTCCATTATTCATTTTGCATTTATGTCCTTTTATGAAATCATGGCACATGTATCGAATAAAGTTTCGACTTATTCGACACATTGTCTTGCTTAAGAGAATGTGGGCTCAAAATAAGGGGGGGGGAGGGAGAGAGAAACAGTAAGCACAAATAACCGCCAAAGACTCGACGGAATTTGATTATTTTTTCGATTTTATCTTCTTACAGACAGTTACCTTCAGAATACAATGAGATAAGCGAGTCTTTCCTCCCTCTCTCTCTCTCTCTATTTCCTTATCATCCTATTTAAGGCGCAAAGGCCCTAGACTCTTTCATATAAAAATGCAAGTACTTTTGAAGGGGCACTGAGATTTACAATTCAAAAAATTGTATCAAGCCATGGCTCAAGATATGAAGGGTAAGTTTTTCTTGGAGACGAGCAGTATATGTCCAGAGGTAAAGGGATGTGGCAAGGAAACTTAAGGACAGGGCCTAATCAGTGGCGTACCAAGGGGTGGAGGCGGGGGGAGGGAAGGGGGTCGCCCGAGAATAGGTAAGCAAAATTTTTGGAAGTTACTTACATGAGTTATAAAAATGTATAAGTAACTTGTAACTTGTAATCAAAATCTTGAAAATTCAGTTTAGCCTTACAAAAAAAAAATTTCGATAGTTCCTAAGATAATGTACGTTCCCAAACCCTCAAAATCCATGATTGAAGCGAGATCGCTCCAATAGACTACAGCCCAAAACGAGTTAGTCGTTTAAGAGCAAAGCAATAAAAGTCGAGAAAGAGGAATGTGGCAGAGGAACTCGAGGAATTTCATGACCCCCACTTTTATATGACCTTCAAGCACGTGGTTATACTGTAAGACAAACCCAGATAGTATAATGAACTTGAAGTCTGTACAAACAATACGCGAAAATAAATCGGCGGGTTCGAGCAGAGTTCGCCCCAAGAAGCGGAACTGATCACACCGCAAGGGCAAGGACAAACTATCACAATGACACACCACGCTGGCACCAAACGCCATTTATTGACAACGCAGCCACGTGCCCGTACGAAAAACCCGAGAACGCATTCTATAAACAGAACGATTTATATTCTTCAAAGATTTGCGTTCGTGAATTATTCAAAGAAAAATAATCAACACATCATTTCATAACTGTGACAGATTGTCCATTAAAACTAAGGAAAACCCCAGTAACTCTAGTTCGGTAAGTAAACATTTTGTTCAAAGAATGAAGAATGTTCAAGAAGTCCAAAACGAATAACTATCGCGTGGCATAGTACTTCCCGGATGTTTTTGAATGTATTGAGCTTGCGACAATGAGACGACCACATGATGCGCCATTAATAGTTTCGCATGCATATCAAACCATTAACTAGATGTACTTCTGATGTACTTATGAAATAGTATTCAAAAATGGAAAAAGCAAATTCAGAAGAGCTTTCATTCAAAGTTCGTTCGTGTATTATGAAAGTGTTTAATGTTTGAAAGTCTATGCTGTGGTGAGATCTTGACTAGAGACATAAAGCGTGCTTCTGGACTCCTTGGTAAAAGATCTTACAGTTGAAATGAACTCAGATTTGTTCTTGAACTATGCTGAGCAGCTGAACCTAGACCCAGTTATTACTATGCGTATACTTATGTCCGTCTTCTTCCACATTTCTGTTATTTTTCCTCTTTTCGAAACATTTGCCCTGAATTAAGTTTCTTACGTTGTTAATCTACAATGCGCTTACGGACATACCAATAAACAAATAAAACGTAGAAGAAGGAAGGAGGATTGCAGAGGCAAAGAACTGATAAAATCCTGATAATGTTGTGATTTATGCAAGCAACAATTATTCAAACTTTAAGCTACAATCAAAACAAAACAAATTTCAGGTTTTGATATTGGGCACAAAACAGCTTTACGAGATCAGGTCATAAAAGCTTTGAAAGCTGATGTTGGAAAACTACAGAATTTTTCGGAAGGAAGCATAAATGAAACGTAAAGAAAACAACAAGTACTGCCAGCGGAAAGAGAGTGTCAACCTTTGTATGAATAGAACATCGACTTCCAGTCTTGTGGGAAAAAGAAAATAAAAAACCCTTCTTAAAAACATTTTGGACGATATTATATTTCCACTGAATTCTTTTTAGAGCGAACATCTATTTTTCAATGGTGTTTCCTAACAGAATTATTCCGGTATATGCCGACAGGTTGCTCTTTTTTAAGAATTTCGTAAACATTTTGCTGTATAGAAGTGCCTGCCATTCTACAGATATGGTGGTTGACCATGCAATGTACTCTACTAGTACCAGACGTCAATGATAGCTTCCGAAGAAAGAAGGGCAAAGCAGGAAGACCATAAACTCACATCTGTTGTGCTTGAGTGCAGCAGCACTATCAGAGAAACCCTTTTTTTCTATTTCGATGCATTTCCGATCATTTCGCCATCATAGTACAAGCAATATACGTTCGCCAAAATAATGTCTAGCTTTCATTTTCCACCCTCCTCAGGAATTTGCATCCATGTATAGCGTACTAGAGTGAGGAAAAGATTCTGAACTTTGCAAGTAAGACGAGCATAGCTACATTTTGAGTAAGTCATTAGATATTCTGAATCGCACTGCAGACTCCGAATTTCACTCAATTCACGAGCAGTTTCTAGATTAACATTGTCATCGAGAGCGGATGTGTCTTTTTTCCATAAATAGAATTGTTGTGCGTAGTCACTGCAGTGCATGATACTCTTCCTCTGTCACATGGTCAAAACAGCTGGGCAATAAAGCTAAATTACTCATTGAGTACTGGTCCTTGCCCTCTTGTTTGCCAGGAAACGTATAAACACATTGAGCAGTGAACGAGCTTTGGATGGAGCTTGACTTTTGACCTATTGTCCCGGAAAATGTTGGTACTACTGATGCAGGTTTACTGGGAGTCAAAGTTGAGATAACTCTTATCAAAATGATTTTTGCGAGTGTAAGAAAACAAGTACCAAATCTTTAGCGATAGAGCTTTAGTTGCAAGCATGACAAAAAATATATAAAAAGCAGTCTTTAGAAACTTACAGTTTAAGGCATAACTCACGGAATGACAGCAAGGATTTCATGTATTTTGTACCTCATGGCCAAACGACAAATTACCTGCATCCAAATGAATTTCAATCTGAGGAATTAGAATCTGCGAACTTGAAGCTCTCGCTTCAGACTGTCTCAGAAAGTAAAAAACTCTTTACAAAACTCAAAACCATATTTTTCCAAATGAGAGAAAAACGGGTTGTATATTGTGAATATCAAAACTTCTAGGTCCTGTAAAGCAAATTTCCGCAATCGTTTTGCGATTGTGCATTTCTAATGTACAAAAGGTCCATAGCAATCTTTTATCTTCAAGCGCAACAATTTAGCTCACAATTTCAGTAATACTTTTTGGGAATAGGGTCTAGCATTTCCTAAACAACAGCACCCAGCCTCGGGAATATCGCTCTTTAGCTAAGGTTTTCAAATAAAGAGCAGAGAATAATGGTGGACTCTCAGTTTCCTAGGCATGGATTTTGGATATGAGAACCCTGCGAAAATGGAAGCACCAATGGGGACGAAAGAAAAAGACATTTGAAAATGTGGAAGTGATCTTCAGCTCTCATAAACACTACTTTGAAAATAGTTAGGAACTTGCATCGATCTGAGACGATTTGTATAAATATACAAGAGCATCAAATGCTAGTTTATATGTCATACATGTTTTATTTTTCCACATTGATTGAATACGTATTTACTTCTAACATCCCATCCACATTCTTCCCATCGATAATATGCACTCCTTAGTTTTTCTTCCAAAGCGGAAGTCAACTGAGGCAAACGTCATCGAAGAATTTGAACATTTGCATACTTTTATTGAGTAGAACCATGTCTTACGTCAGAAGATTCAAAACGCACGGACTTCTATTCATCGACTTTTGTCGTAAATATAATGCAAACATTTGCTTTGGGAAGAATTAGTGCTCTTCAACAAAACCTATTGGATCATAACAAAAACTTTGCTACACTTTCTTCTCTTTTACCAAAAATTCAGAGACTTCAGCAAAGTCCCAAATCTGCACATGTAAGGAAGGAACAAAGATTTATTTGATGATCATTTCCACTTTCATAGATGGTGACATTAGATATAAATGCAACTCTGCAAAGACACTTCAACCTCCATTTATTAATTTCCAAAAATTTCCCCATTTTTCGTTTTTACCTTTTGAGATTTTGATTGTGGGAATGCCAATATGAAAACAATTTGTTAGCCCAAGCTCCTGATTAAAGTAGGCGGGAGATTGCCAAAAACTTGGAAATTTCCAAACGAATTCATAAAGGTTTTTTTCGTGTGAGCTGTAATCATCGAAACGCTACGAGTGGTTTTAGAATGAGGAAAAATTTCTCAAGAATGCTATGAAGATTCCGTCCTTCAAGTGTAAGAAAACTTATGATACAACCTAATATCACAAGAACTATTACGCTATACGTCGTTGTTCGATATTCTATTCAAAAAGTTGTTTTTCAAATTTGTGTTCATTATGTTGAAGACCTGTCTCCTACCGTATCCTACAGTAACCTGACCTTGCCCAATAAGATCTTGCGGAAGCCTGGATAAACCATCC